ATTTCATTGACATTCATTATATTAAGGTTATTTTGATTATATTGAGAGATATGGTCAAGAGAAGAGTTAGGAAGAGAATTATTCTTCAACCAAGTCAAAAACCAACCCTTTAAATACATTTACAAGTAGTACAATTTAATCTATTAGACTATTTCAATGGTTGCTTCCAACTTCTTAAATTCGTTAATGAAACAATTGTTGGTGAAGCAATTGTTGACAAAATGAATCAGACCCATATTTATTTCTACGTTTATCAAATTCGCGATTTTAATTTGTCAATCAATAAATGGCATGGGTTAAAATTTTGTGTTCTCTCCTGTTAATTTTGTGTTCCCAGAACAGTCTCTCCTGTTGTTTGTTTAGGGATGGGGACGGCTTATGTCACGTGAGGCGACGAATAATATTTTTATGATTGATCCGTGACGATTAATATACTAAATTACAGGTGACAATTAATTTGTCTTGTTTTGGCAATATAACTGTCACCTGTAAATTAGTATATTAATCGTCACGGATCAATTATTCGTCATATCACGTGACATAAACCGTCCCCATCCCTGAATATTTTTTTTTGTAAAGAAAAAAAAAAGAAATATATGAAAACAATTGTTACACAGAATTTACTTAGTCTCAATTTCATAACAAATTTTGGATTTTCAAAATGTTAAGGCTAAATAAGTTTTGAAGCTTGAGTCATGAACAATAAAACTTATTGGTTAACTTTTTTAAAATGTTATAAAAATTTTTTGTTTTAGTATTTTGAAACTGACTAATTGTTACCATAAGCAATTAATTGATTATAGATGATCTGCACCGTAGAGAGCTCCGATGCAATTAAATAAAGTTCATAAATAATATAAAACTTATATTATAATTATTGGGGTGTTACAAATAGACTATGATGATAATATATGAAGATTTTTCATTGGACAAAATTAATATACAAAAATAGCTCCCGAACTTCTTAAATTTTTTTAGTTAATAAAAATAGTAAACCCATCAAATCATCATCAATAAATATTATGAAAATAGTATCTAATAAAAAAAAAACCTTGGAATTTTAAAAAATAAGTATATGTTATTGAATACTCTTATATATCAATTTTTGATCTGCATTTTATCCAATAAAAAATCCTCAATAACTTTTGTCCACACGTGATCGGCACCAAAATCTATTATTAATTTCATTTTTTTGGAAAAAACATTACAATTATAAAAAAATCAAAATGTCGTCTTCAACTGAAAATACTCATTGTCCTGGTATTGATTACCTTATAATTATTAATCTTGAAGCTACGATCTCTGAAGAAATATCACAATCTACTATACAAGTAACGAAGGCCTCACAGTCACAACGTAAAAGTTTTTGTAAGGTTGAGTTGATTAATTTTATTTACACGCACACACATACACATTAATCATATAATCGATAGAATTATTATCTTTTTATGGGTGGCTTCGGGTTCTCTTATACGTGTTCTTGAGCCATTTCCTGATTTTTTTTTTTAAAAATTTTGTTTTTTTTTTTTTGAAGTTATCTAAAAATTTTAATGAAATTATATTACCTGGCTTGCAACTCGTTGTTGGTTCTTATTATTAAATAAAATAATAAAAATAAAAACTAGGAAACGGCAGAAATTATTGAATTTGCATGGGCAATAGTAGATACAAAAAATTTTGAAGTGGTTCGTACATTATTTATTTTATTTATTTATTTATTTATTATTTATTAATTAATTAATTACAATTAATAAATCAATAATATAATTAATGTTAATGATTTTTTATTGACAGGTATACCAACATTCACAATATGTAAAACCTAAAGTTACTCTATTAACAACCTTTTGCACCACTCTTACAAACATAACTTGGGATCAACTTGAATTCGCTGGAAATTTAAAGGATGCAATTGATGCGTTAGACGATTATATTCAGAACAAAATACTTGCTGAAAATAAAACCTTTTGTTTTTGTACACATGGAGCTTGGGATTTAAGGATCCAATTACCAAGAGAAGCAAAAGATAAAGAAATCGAACTGTCAAGTTATTTAACACATTGTAGAATGTTTGATTTAAAGCAAGAATATCAAAGATGGCACGTTCATCATCCAGATATGACGCTAAAAACTCTTTCATTGCAAGAAATGAGTTCAACTTTTGATTTAATAATAGTGGAAATTCATGAATCAGGATTGAATGATGTTTTAACCATGGTCAACGTTGTCAGATATTTTTGTTCTTTTGGTCATCATGATGTTTTCGTTAATCCAATAGATACAAGTGCAGACTTGAATCAGTTTAAAAAAGAACAGTCTAAAGTAATCCATTTAGCAGGCTTACCACACGATGTTACACAACCTGAATTAGAAGCATGGTTTTCGGGTCAAGGTGTAAGACCTACAACATTGTCGATGATTAAACCACCTGATAATCAAAAATCAAGTGGAATTGGGTTTGCAATTTTCGCTACTCATGAAGATTCTATGGCTTGTTTGGATATGAATGGTAGAACGTTAGGTGATCGAGTTATAGAAGTTAGTCCAAGTAGCGAAAGAATAATCGAAGCTGCTGGATCAATGTTATCACCGTTTCAGGTATATATTAAATATTATCGAATATTGTTAATGTCTCAAATTAATACATTAATTCGTTTTAAAATTAATTTATAATAGATGATAAAAAATCATGTTCGTCCAGGTGATTGGATATGTTCAATATGTCAATTTCATAATTTTTCTTCAAGGAGAACATGTTTCAAGTGCAATACCATCAATCCGAATCCTCTTCCCGTGGTGCAACAAGTACCACATAATTTTACACAAGGCGATTGGATGTGTCCAAATTTACCATGCAGTTTTCATAACTATGCATCACGCACTCAATGTTTAAGATGTGGAACCTATAAACCTAGTGGTAATGGTAATTATGGACAATCGTCTACATCAACACCACCATTATCAATAACATCGTCAACATCATCCACATCGTCAGGTATATCTTTTAGACCAGGCGATTGGATTTGCCCAAATCCAAATTGTATTTTTCAGAATTTTGCATCAAGAACTCAATGCATGAGATGTGGAACATCAAATCATTCAGGTTATGATACATATGGGAATTTAACGTCATCAATAATAGAACAACAACAGGGAGGTGGTTTATATGGTACAACTAATGTTATGGGTCATGGGTCATTATTATCATTATCACCATCACCATCATCTGCATCATCAAGTATACCTTTTAGACCAGGCGATTGGTATTGTCCATCTTGCAACTCACACAACTTTGCATCACGTTTTCAGTGTATTCGTTGTAGTTTACCTAAACCACCTAATGCTATAAATAACATTGCATCAATAGTTAATATGAAACCTGGAGATTGGTTATGTGGTAATGATATGTGCGGCTATCATAATTTTGCAAAAAGAACACAGTGTGCAAAATGTGGTTTTTTAAATATTCCACAATAAAAATCAGTTTATCTGCCACTATTCATCTGAGCCTTGCCACTTAATAATAAAATATATATATAAATCTATAAATTGATATAAAGATTGTCACCTTTACCTCATTATATAATTATAATAATATATATATTAGCATCTCTTCTTGATGCGACTTTATTTCTTAAAAAATATCAAAGGTGCACCATATTCTGTGTGATTAATTCCCCAAATAAATCACCACCCTTGGTATTTATTCAAATATAAAAATAAGTGTTCTAGCTATAATCTTCCCCCAAGTATTGGAACATCTAAACACTAATAATTAAATAAAAAACTACTTGCTTATTCTGATAACCTTTTTAGTTAGAATTTTCTGATATCTGGAAGGGTGGCATGAACTGTTTACTTCTTTGTTTAAAATCTGTGCAAATATCAATTAGTTGCTCCTATGTTAAAGGGAAAAGATATTTTACCATAAGCTTTAGAAAATAAAAAATTATGGTAAAAAATGATATATACTTTGAGTGCCAGAAAATGGGTAATATTTGATTCAATTAAAGGCATAGAAGCCATGAACAGTATATCTTGTAACAGTTTAACTCCATGACATAAGATTCAACAATGTTCCCTAGTTTATACAAATAATGTCCACATTCAAAAACATGAATAAAAATGACAGCAGTTTATTATATAATTACCCATATTAAGAAGAACAATAGCTTTTGAAGGTCCTCCTTTTTTCTTTAATAGATTGTTTATTGATCTTTTGGCGTTAGTGTGTGCTTTTACTATATCCTTGTTCTTTTGGAGTGATGTATGTCCAACGGGTTTGATTTCAGTATTTAACACAGCAATTTCATCAACTAAGAATGTAAAATCAGGTCTTTCCTTGTTTCATATGTTGATTTGTTAAGCACTATGCTATAATCTTCTGGTGGAACAAAGATAGGTCTTATTATTGGATGTAAAAGCATGAAGCTGTGCAAATCTTCAGTTGATTTTGCAGATTCAACAGGCAAGTTACATCCAAAATATATCAAACAAATTAATTATTGATTTTGCATTTTAACTTTCTTTCCAGAATGATGATAAAAAGTAAATCATATTTTAACTCACAATCCATTGAAGACATTACAACTAATAGTGCTTAACTCATTATCATTTTCAGTCATAAAAATATTATCATCAAATACTGTTTTAAGGGCAGCTGCATTTAAAGCTGTTGAAATATCACTTGGTAATGCATAACTAATTTTGTGTTAATTTGAATCTAGTATTTTTTTCCATTCGTTAGATGTAAATTCGGGATATGGATTACCATTATTGATGCTAGTGTTCTAAATACAATTACAAAGATAAATCAAGTGAGAAAAACATCACAAAAAATAGATAGCAAATTATACATATATAAAATAATCTCTCTCTTCTGTCAAAATACAATTTTTCATAAACATCATTTTGGCTTAATTTAGATTCCCTTGCTTTTTGAATTGAATGGTTTTGAAAACTTTGAAACTTTTTATAATGTTTATTTCTTCTATAATCCACTGAAAAGTATAATCAACTTAATGGTAAAATGAAAACAAAGAAAATGATAATCAGAGTTTGATTTAATACATACTTCATTTAATGGCCCATCTTCTAATTCTTTTTCAAGGTTATCAAGGACAGAACTAACATTCTCTTTATCTTCTTTTTTTTTGTTTTTTTTTTGCATTAGAAGTTGTAGATAATTGTACCCTAGGTAATGCAAGGCCAAATTTCAATTTATTAACTAATGAGTTGTGAATTAAATCACTATCACCAATCTTATATAGAAACTAGAATGATGAGTAGTGGCAATAACAACCACCATTTAATGATAAACACTTATCCATATATGTTTTCAGTGTCGCCTTGTTTTCTTCTTTTTTTGGTTTTGTTTTTATTGTCTCTTGACATCTTAAAAAGAAAGAAATCTTTATTTGATTGACAAACACACACGTGTGTGGTATTGGGTGGTACGATGGACTAATGTAGATCAAAACTAATTAACATCATATATAAAATTTACTAATAAACAATTATAAAATAAAAATTGCATCTTCTCATTCAAAAAAAAAAAGATACAACTATAAAATTAAGTGATATTATAACAAATGTAATGATCCACATGGTGACAGAGAGTTTTTTTTAATTTTATTAGTAAAATCATCCAAAATGTTAAAAAATACTGTTAAACTTTGAAACGCATAGGCTCAATAACCAAATAAGTTAGAGTAAAAAAATTTCCATAGTTTTTTTCTCTGTGATTCAAAGAATATCCTGACAGAGTTTTTTTAATTTTATTAGTAAAATCATCCAAAATGTTAAAAATACTGTTAAGCTTTGAAACGTATAGACTCAATAACCAAACAAGTTAGAGTGAAAAAATTTCCATAGATTTTTTTCTCTGTGGTTCAAAAAATATCCTACAGGGAGTTGTTTTAAAAATCATTAGTAGATTAAGGATTTATAAGAATTCAAAGTTATGCGATTTTATTATAAAATTTTTCCTTCGAAAATCTTTTCCTTTTGAAGAAAATGCTTAATAAAATAAATAATCTTACGGGAGATTCTACAAGGAGTAAAGATTCTGGGGAATTAGTTTTCATTTTTTTGACTGCACGTGCATTATGAATTAGTCTTTTTCTTTTATTGGGCTTCGGTATTTTATTAAACACGAAGACTTTTTCTTACGACTCTTATTTATTATGAAAGATACTTTATGTTTTCTTTAAAAGGAAATGATTACCGAAAAAAAATTTTATTAATAAAATCGTACATCTTTAATCCTTTAATAAACTTTCTTTTACTAATAATTTAAAAAAAAACTCTCTGTCAGGCTATTCTTTGAATCATAAAGAAAAAAACTATGGAAAATTTTTTTACTCTAACTTGTTTGGTTATTGAGCCTATACGTTTCAAAGTTTAACAGTATTTTGGATGATTTTACCAATAAAATTAAAAAAAACTCTTTGTCACCATGTGGACCATTACATTTGTTATAATATCTCTTAATTTTATAGTTGTATCTTTTTTTTTTGAATGAGAAGATTTTTATAATTGTTGAAAAAAAAAGTTTATAGTAAAAATTTTATATGGTTAATTAGATAGTTCATCGTACAACCCAATACACTGCGTTGTTGCCAGTGTTCGAAATTCGACTGCGCCTTTACATAAACTAATCTAATTTTAGGAATTATCTGCGGTTGATTTCCATATTTAGTTAGTGCGCGCCGATTCCGCCGATTGAATTTCGAACAGTGGTTGTTGCTATTGCCTTTTTTAAATTTAACCCCTGATGATTTTGATGATTTTTCATTTATCTCAAACATAATGATAAATATATTTAATAATGTGATCAAAGCATCATGAAATAAAGGAAATGTATGAAGAAAATCATTTAAAATATATTTAACAAAAAAAATTTTTTTTATTTATATTTTTTTAAAATATTAAAATATTTTTAAATATAAAAATAATTTGTGGTATGTTATTTGATAACACTTTTTTTTGATTAAATTGATTACCAAAATAACATCATTCGAACTTCTATTATAATAAATAAAATTCACAAATAATAAAATAATAATTTAATTATTACTTAACAAAGATCATAATATTGATATTAATATATTAGTTATAATAAAATCAAAAATCTTCGCGTTTTAATTACTTATTTAGGAAGAATAGTAAATAATAATTGTTATTGTGGTTGACTATCTCTTTCCTTCACTTTTTTCTTTTTATTCGTCATTGATGTGTAATTAGTTAATGTATGCGTGTGTGCAAATGTGCGTTTATTCACACACACAAAGATATTATAGGTTGATTGTCAGAAAAGTAGAAATTTCTATATAAATTTACATACTTGGATTCTTTATTATATTATCTTCCATTTTTTATTGTAATTATTAACCAATTGGGTTGAATAATTTTTTCATCAATATTAATTTCTTTGAAGCAAACAATGTTAATTGTACGTGTTTGTGCGTATGTGGTATCATCTTAACATCATTATAACATCATAATTCAAGGGGGAAAGCAAGGGAGTAGTGAAATGATGAAATAACGCAAAATAAAATGGGGGTTTTTTTCGAGAAAAGAGTGTCGCGTGCACACTAATCTAAAGTTTTTTTTGACATGTAAAAATTACGTAGAAAAATATTTGTACTTTCTTATCAATAATAACATTGATATTGATGTAATGAATGTGTATCAAACATGACAACAATACTAAACAATAAATAAAATGCAAAAAAAATTTAATTTAACAGTTAATGCGCGTGATTTTAATTATTATCATATTGTATATTTAATTTTGATTTTTATTAATAAAAAAGTAAATCAGGAAAATTTTTTTTCCATTTTGATTGATCAACAGCGGCAAAAATAATTCATTATGCATATTTTAATGAAAAAGTAAGGTTAATAGCCATATGTTTAAAAATATATCAGATCTTCCGCAGTAATATCCTATCAAATAATCATGTGATCATTCGATCATGACGAGGAAAAAAAAGTCAATTAATTATTGCAGAATGATCAGACGTTTACGAACACATTACAATAGAACATTCTAAACTTGAATCTAGAATCTGTTGAACTTATTATCAGAACAAATAGATGACGCACCGGTTAGTTTGACGACGATAATAATAATATCGGTGGATCAACAATGACGAAATAGTGATTACTTTTGGATTCTTTAAACTGATTCTCATTCAAATCCGATACTTTTTGGAGAAAGCAAACTTTATTGTTCCATATAAATAATAAAATTACGTAAAGAAATGTGTCAAGTTATGAATATCAAAGAAATATTAAATTAATGTTCCCAGAATCAGTAGTTTGTGATTAGATAATAAATAAAAAAAGGTGTCAATTTAATGTTACACAATCCCAAACTTCCATTTTTAAATATATGCTATAACAAGGTCACAAAAACTGTAAAGAAACCAATAAACGATCATTTATTATGAGCAACACCGAACAAATTCTTTTCCTATTTAGCAAAAAATCCTTAATAATTTTTCAATTTGCTAATATTAATTAAAACTGGATTTACTATTAAAACTAGCACTACTCTGTTCTTTATTATTATTATTTTAAGGAATTCCAAGAACCTGGGAATTAATGATTATTAATACAAAAAATTAATAATAATATAATAATAATAATAATAATAATAATAATAATAATAATAATAATAATAATAATAATAATAATAATAATAATAATAATAAATTCATATGTGTTGTTGATTGTAATAAAAGTTGTCGCATTTTGCCGAAAAAATTAATGATGAAAAATGACAAAAAAAACAGTATAAAAAATATTTTAAAATGGGAAAAAAAGAAAATCGTAATCTAAATTTTATTGAATTGAATGTTGACAATCATTTTTATTTTTTAAATTGTCACAAAAATAAGTTTTTTTTTATTTTATGTAATGTACATGAAAATTATTTTACCGCTTAATTTGTAATATTGGATTTTTTTATGAGATTTTTTAATAATGATGTAAAAATAATCGATAAATGTGTATAGTAAAAGTAAGGTAGTAGTGCGATGTGTAATAGCAGAGAAAAAGGTTTGATTTGCAAAACAATTGCCTAAATTTATAAAAAAAAACCATTCTAGTTTTTGAGTAAAAACGCAGGTCATTAATAATTAATTAATCTTATAATTTAAAATTTTTTAATTGTAAATTTTTTTTTAATTTTTAAAAAAAATATTATAAATATGATCATTTTTCTTGCTACCATAAAAGGGGTTCAGATTTAAAGAAAAAGGGTACTTTTTATTATAATAATAACAATATAAATATAATAAATAAAATCTATAAATATATATAATTTATAACAGTTAAAAAAATAAAAATTTTTTTAATTAATACTTTTTTTTTTAGCGATTTACGTTATTTATTAATTATTTTATAATCAACACACACCACATATAATTATTAGTTTTTAAATATTCCAATAACCTAACAACAAAAAAACTTTGCATAAAAACTGCAGAAAATTTCAAAAATTTTTATTTTTTTTTTTATTTTATTTTTTTTTTAAAAATAAAATCATGATTAATGCCAAAACTGTAGGCCCGGACCAAAAATTTAAATTTAATTGTCAACAACAAAATTATAATAACATCAACGTTGTTAATACCGTCGCTGCTAATTCTATTTATAATAATTATATTACATCATCTCCCGCCGCCGCCGCTCCAATATCTCCACCGGTAACTCCTGGCACATCAATTATCATTTCACCTTCTTATTCATCACATTATCACAATAATAATAACGACATTACTTTCACCAATTCTTCCAACTGCTCTCCTTGCTTTTCAAATAACGCTAATATCAATATCAATAATAATAACATCAATAATTATTTAAATTTAAACTTAAATCTAAATTCTTGTTGTTCCCCTTTCTCTTCACAATCATTACCTTCTCCGTTCAATCAACAATTTTCTGAATTAGCATCAGGATTGGTTGGAGATATTGATTTAACAAGCGACGACCTCTTTAGTTTGAGTAGATCACCGCAATACTTATTAGATTTACAACAAAATTATTCAAGTCTTTTTCCAATGAATTTCCAACAACATCACCAACAATATCAATTTCCACCACAACAACGCCACCACCAAAATTATCAACAGCTAGATCAAGATCTATTATCAGAAGCTTCTTCAATTTCTCAAACAAGTTCTCCCATCATTCAACAAATATCTTTAGACAGAAGACAATTTGATGAAATGCCTACATTTCAACAACATTCATACTCAACAACAATTGATGCTCCACTAAGAACTCCTCCTCTAATCCAGACTTCCACAACTTCCACAAATTATTTTGAAATTCCTTTTAACAATAACAGCAACAACAACAACAACAACAACAACAACAGCAACAGCAGAAGCAACAACAATAACAACAACAATAACAACAATAATAATAGCAGCAGCAGCAACAATATTAGTGGTAATGATAATAATGATGGAACAACTTCTGAAATGATATCAATAAATTCGTTTTCACCTGAAAATATGATTTATGCTACTAGATTAGCAGCAGCTACATCAATTTCTCCAACAATAAGCTCTAATAATTATAACGTGACTCAACAACAACAACAACAACCATCATCACAATTATTACTACAACAACAAGCCGCAACATTCTCTACTGTTCCAAATGTTAACAATTCAACAATACCTACAAAACCCGTTAATACTACTTATTCATATAGCGGTCCACCAAAAAGTTATTATTCGAGGCTGCCACTATATGATCGACCCTTCAAATGTGACGAGTGTCCTCAAAGTAAGTTTGAAATTGAAAATTATTATTTCTTTATTAAAAAATCACAAATTAAAATAATTAAATAATTTATTTTCTTTCTCATAGGTTTTAATCGAAACCACGATTTAAAACGCCACAAGAGGATCCACCTCGCGGTAAAACCATTCCCGTGCGAATTCTGCAACAAAGAATTCAGTCGAAAAGACGCTTTGAAACGACATATGGTCGTCAAAGGATGCGATAAGAAATCACAAGCAACTTCCTCCACTGGCGTCGCCACCAATAATAATAGCAATAAGACCGCTACTAGTAGCAATGCATCCAAACCCAATAAAAAATTAAAAATATCTTCGGCATCGTCAATTTCTTTATCGACGAACAACAACAAAAATACATTCAACGGCAATTAATTAACATATAAAAGAGATATATACACTAAGAATTTCTATGGTTTTTATTTCTATCTTCTCGCAATAAAAAATAATTTTTCAACATTTTTTTTATTAACTGGGGGGGGTTTTTTTTTTATTTTCGCTTCGAGACAATAAAAAAAAGGACTTTTTTCCGTTTTTCCGATTTCTACAAAAAAATTTTTTATTTTATATAATATTAATATAATAATATATATTGTATAGAAAGAAAAATAATCAAAATTTTCCGTGTTAATAACCAATGGGTGGATTTATTTTTTTTATTTTTTTACTTTTTTATGTGTAAATATTTTTTTATAACGAAAAAAAAAAAAAAACAAATAATTATAGTTTATAATAATAATAATAATAATAATCATAATAATAACCATAATAACCTATCATCTATACAGAGCAAATATATATATAATACAAAACACACATCAAAAAATTATGAGATTTACATGCACACACACATATGTGTGTGTATATTATATATATATGAAATTTAAATTAAGATTAAAATTAATTAAACTAGCAAAAATTATTATGAATTTAATTTAATTTTTTTAATAAATAAAGTTTTTAATTTTTCCTAATTTAATCAAATGAACTGTATCGATCTTGGATTCATTATAAATCAGACCACTTAATCATTATTGTTGTAAAGTGCTAATTGTTGTAAAAAATGATCCCATCCCACCATACATACTATACATTAACGGCATTGATTTTATTGGTCATAGATCTTTACCAAAATTAGAAAATTTAGAGAATTCCCTATGGAAAAGTGTAACGTCGTCCGTCAATCACGAAAAAATGAATCTTATTATTAAACGTTTCACTTCATTCTCATGTTCATACTACTGTTACTGCTTTTCTATTCAAAGTAATTATGTTGAAAATGTATTTGGATGAATTATATATAATTATATATATACATGCTATTAATATTAGATAGATAAATATATTTATTACACCTACACGTAAAATCTTTTTAATAATATAGCAAATAAAATAGAGAATTACGATATAAAAAGTTTTTGTCTCTAATGAACCTCATGAATATCCAATTTGAATTGTATTATTAACTGCTTCTTCAATAATAGAAAGTAATATATATCTCTTCAGTAGTATTAAAAAATTTTGTTTTTTTGAATTAATTCTATTGGGTTAAGGAATTGCTGCGCAATATATAGACTTTGTTCCTAATGATACTCTATGGGTATTGAAGTAAGTTATCTAGATGACCAAAGTAGTAACTACGCTTCTTGCCTATTACACATACAATTACAAGTTATTTGAATATTATTATGTAAATAACTTTTCTTTAGTGGAATGAAAGTTACTATTTAAATTTCCTCGCTTCTAGTAAAAGTATATTCTAGGTAGAAACTACATTTTGTCAATTGAAAGCGTGACTTTTACATGTTACAAATATATTTTGATCGTATGATTAAAAAAAATTTTTACACATGATACTTACTAATCGATACTAATTTTTTCTGAAATGATCGTCGAAATAAAAAACGCACCACAACTTTGTAGTTTTACAGATAGTGTGAGAATTTTGGTAGATGTGGTAAATGGTGGTTACCTAGCTGACAATGGTATTCGAGCATACAAACTTCACATCTTTGCCTGCCATATTTAGTATTTTATACTAAAAGTGTTTTTCTCTAAATATGTTCAATTGTGGGAAAGTGTATGTTTTATGTAATCCTTTTAAGTGTAACGGTTGGGATTTTTTTCTTAATTTAGCAATTTTCAAAGAAATATATTCCTGTTTATTAATAAAAAAATGATTATACACAAACATATGTGTAACACACATATTATTATTAATAATAATTTAAGCATAGTGAATATTTGATTTCATTGGCTAAATTATGTGACGATCTCCCTTCCAGATATCACGCAAAAACTAAATTTTATTGGCTTGAAGATCGTTACGCAAATTTGAAAAACCAATATTAATATCGGAGGGAAGGAAATTTAGTTC